CTGAATTCACTTCTTGCCTGAACTATTGCAGTACTCTTCCAATTGGCTTCTCTCCCTCTCTATCATCCTCCATATAGTATCCAGAGTGATGTACCTAATTCATAGCTGACTGTGTCACACCTTGCTTAGGAAAACTCCAGTGGTTCCATATTGCCTCTAGGATCGAAAATAAATTCCTTGGTTATCATTTAAAACCCTTCACAACCTAGTTGCAGCCTATCTTTCCTGCCTCATTATACTTGACTCCCCTTTACACACCCTCAGTCTAGCCAACTTGGGCTTCTTGCTGTTCCTACAACAGGATACATCATTTCCTGTGCCTTTACACAGGTTATCTCCCCATGGGGGGATCCTCCCTCCTCACCTTCACCTCTTAGACTCTCTACTATCAGTCAAAGCTCAAATCATTTGCTACCCCCTACATGGATGGAGTCTTTTGCTGATTCTCCTACTCCTAGCTGGCAGTGCCTCTGCTCAGCCCTCATTACCTTGTATGTATTCTTATATGGGGCAACTAGGTGGTGCAGTGGATAGAGTGCTAAGGCCTGGAGTCAAAAAGAGTCAGCTTCCTGAGTTCAAATTTGTCCTCAGACACTTACTAGCTGTGTGACCCTGGGCAAGTCACTTAACCCCATTTGTCCCAATTCCTCATCTGTGAAATGAGCTGGAGAAGGTGAAATGGCAAATCACTCTAATATCTTTGCCAAGAAAATCCCAAATGGGGTCATGAAGAATTGGACATGACTAAAATGACTGAACAACATTCTTATATGTACTTCTGTGTGTGCATTTTGTCTCCTTCGGTGACCTCTAAGTTCCATTCAAGGGTTGGAATTGTTTTGTTTTATATTCCCAGAACCTAACCCAGTACCTGGCTCATAATAGGTGCTTAATACATTCTTGTTAATTAACTTTATTGTTGTATATTTCAGTCATGTGTAACCTCATTTGGGGTTTTCTTGTCAAAGATACTGGAGTGGTTTGCCATTTCCTTCTCCAGCTCATTTTTCAGATGAGGAAACTGAGGCAAACAGGGTTAATTAAGGGGCTTGTCCAGGGTCACACAGCTAGTAAAATTTGAGGCCAAATTTGAACTCAGTTCCTCCTGACTTCAGGCCCAGAGCTCTGTCCACTGTGTTACCTCACTGTTAATTAACACGCCTAGAGTCATATAGTAAGCTTTAAAGGAGAGGTTTTCCCTGCTCCAAATCTAGCACTCTTTCCAATACATCATATTGCCTTTCCATTGGATTATTATAAATAAATGATAGGTTAAGTGATTTGCTAAAGGCCACACAAATACTAAGCTGCAGAGACAGAACCATAAGGAGGTTTCCTGATTCCCAGTTCTACCTCCATTCTGATTTCCTTATACTAATGTCCTATATCCATTGGGCTACTTTAAGGAAGTCAGAGTAATGATTTCTGTTAATTCTGTGAGTTAGGAAAGAGAATGGAAAAACTTTCCCTCATTAAAGGAGCAGGTGAATAAGTCACATAGATTTTGGCTGTTATTTTCTATATCAGACAGCTCTGGGGTCAGAGCTATTAATTTCCATCATGCTTCTTGACAGAAATAGAGATCCTTCTAGTGATGTGCTATAAAACAGAAACAGTCAACGTACCAGGCACTTTGTGTGAGCAATGTATTTTGCTATTTATTTTTCTTAAATTTTCATTTGTTTCTCAGTTAGCAAGGTTTTTTCCCACTTTTTTACCTCCTCCCCACCACATTGAAAAAAGAAGAAAAATGAAACCCGGTTAAGAAATATACATAGTCAGACAAAACAAATTCCAGTGTTGGCCAGGTCTAAAAATATATAATTCATTTGGCATCTCAAATCCATCACCTCTCTGTCCCGAGGTGGGTAGCACCCTTCATTATCAATCCTCTGGAATTGTAGTTGGGCACCACTTCAGTGTTTGTTTTTACAACATTTTTGTTGTTATTGTATTATCCTCTGACCACTCTGCATCAGTTCATCTAAGTCTTCCCAAGTTCCTCTGAAACTGTCCCTTTCATTATTTGTTATGACACATAACATTCTATAACATTCTTATACCATAATTTATCTAGCCATTCCCCAGTTGATCGACACTTCCTTAGTTTCCAGTTCTTTGCCACCACACAGGAGCTGCTCTGAATATTTTTGTACATAGGGATCCTTTTCCTCTTTCTTTGATCTTGGAAAGAGCAAGGCTGCTGTGCCTGAGTGACCTCCTTTGTAGAGTTTGGAGAGGTAGGGAAGTCACATATTTCTAACCTGGTGAATCCGGGAGCTCCAAGGTATGATCATTGTCCCTCTCCTCCTCCTCTAGGCCTGCATTCTCAGAACTCTGCCTTTTTCCAGGAGAGGACTACAGAAGAGGAGGGAATGGCTACTGTGTCCCTGATAACCAAAGCCCAGGTGAGCTTGAGTTTTCCACTCTTTTCTAAATGAAATTTCAGTTTCCAGAGTGTGGACACTTTTCTCTTCATCATCATGGAACTTCTCTGTCTCTCTGACCCCCTCCTTGTGGATGAAGGACTAAGGACAAAATGGGCTTTGTTTGACTAGTGTTCATCCCCATTGGAGCTTAGTGATAAGCATACTAACATGGAAAATACCTTCCTACGTCAGGTCAAATGCTCCAACTTCTCCTATGTGTTTGTTTTAGAAATCGGTGACATTCAAGGATGTAGCTGTAAATTTCACCCAGGAGGAGTGGGGACAACTGAATCCTGCTCAGAGGAACCTGTACAAGGATGTGATGCTGGAGAACTATAGAAACCTCATCTCATTGGGTAAGGATGGCTTCTCCCTGGGATTCAAAATTTATCTTAAATTAAGAAATACCATAGTAGTGAATGCAGAGCCTGAATTGGATTTATTTATGTCTCACTGTGACTGTGTGTATTAAGGATAGTCGTAACAGATACCTGTAGGAACTGCTTTGAAACAACAGTGATGGCTATATAACTGTGAAGGTGAGCATGAGGTCCTACTATTTGCTCTGGGATGAGGTGAAGGGTGGGTCCTGGAGAGGATGAGGAATGTAAGAGGTCTGAATGCATCATGAATAAAAACAGGAAGAATTGCTGCAAGATAGAGCTGGATTTAGAAGTGGGGAGCCAAAAGGTAAAGAGAAGAGGCATGCAGGAGGGAAAAGAGTCACCTACTAAATTCAAAACTGGAGGGTTAGCAAAGCAAGGGCCCAACCTTCCAAGAACTACTCAGGTAGATAATACATAGAACAGTATCCAGTAGACCTTCAGGGAAACTATAGAACTTGGATCAAGAGCTGTGGAGAAAGAAGGTAGCATAGAAAAATAAGATTTCTTGAATCTAAAGGGAGGGAACCAGAAGTAAAGGTGAAGAGGGTAGCTATAATGGCAAGGTAATTTCCACATGGAGCCTAGACCTCAAATAGAATGGAAACATCCTAATCTCAAAACCACACTGAGCACAGAACAAAGGTAATATGACCTAGGACTGATAACAAGTATGACATATAAAGAAAGTGAAGGCAAATGGTACCTATGAAGAAATAAGCCAAGCAAGAAGCAGGGTTGGGGTGGGGGGGGGGGGGCTGGGTTGCCAAGGGCCAGTGTCAGCAATATAGAGGTTCTAAAGTTGTCAGGGCATCAAAGAGAACTGGTAAAAAAACAAAACAAAACCATGGAGCATCTGAATTTCTTATCTGAATTTTGATTCAGGGTTTGGGTCAGAGATCTCAAATCTTTTTTTGGCCAAGAAACAAAGCATTTCTTCTCCTTCATAACAGGTGAAAATGATGTACATCTTAAGTTGAAATTAAGAAGCTTCGTTATGCTATTCCTGAGACTGTAACTTCCTTGTCCTCTTCTCCTACAGGTCAAAGGCTTTCACTTAAGCTAAGAGTGCACATATCTGCTTTCTGGAAAGATAAGCCTGAATCTCCTTCAGAAGTTACCACAACTCCTTCTGGGCTTTCCTGTTATATCCTTTTTGGATAGGGAGGTAGCCTAGCAGCGGTGGGGAACCTGTGGCCTCCAGGCCACATGTAGTCCTTTAGGTCCTCAAGTGCAGCCCTTCCACTGAATCCAAACAAATTTGTTCTGTGAAGTTTGAATTCAGTCAAAGGACTGAACTTGAGGACCTAGAGGGCTACATGTGGCCTGGAGGCCACAGGTTCCCCACCCCTGGTGTAGGGGACGGAAGAGTCAGGAAGCCTGAGTTCAAGTTCAACCCTGCTAATCATTAACCATTTGACCCTGGGCAAGTCCCTTCACCTTTCTTGCCCTAAGCTTTCTTTCCAACAATAGGGTTTGAATTAGACGATCTCTTATTGTCTCCAGCTCTGACTTTATTTGATTCACAGCTGCTCAGAGGGTTCTTGCCATACCGGTGGCCACTTAGCTTTCGCTTGAAGATCTCCACTGAGGATCTGCTTTTGGAGAGTTCTGTTAGGAAGGTTTTTCTTATCTTGAGCCTAAATTTGCTTCTTTGCCACTCCTGTTTCTACCAATGGAGCCATGCTGTCTTCCATGGGAAAGCCTTTCAAATACTTGAAGTCAGGTATCACACCACTATTCCTCCTCCCTGCTCCCTCTCCCCAGTGCCCAAATCTTTTCTTCTCCAGGCAAAGATCCTTGTTTCCTTTAATCAGTCATGTGGTGTGAACTCAAGGCCTTTCTCTGTCCTAATTGTCCTCCTCTGAATGCTCTCCACTTTATCAATATACTTCCTGAATTATATTCTTCCAGATGTGGCCAGACCAGGACAAAATACAGCAAGATTATCACCACTCTAGCCTCACATTATCTTTCATGGTGACCAGATCACATTGTTGATTTATCCTGAGCTTTCAGACTACTAAACCTTCCAGATCTTTTTTTCAGATAAATAGCTCCTTAGCCATGCCTTTTCCATCTTGTACTTTGAAAATTAAGTGTCTGGAACCCAAGTGTAAGACAAAGATTCTGTTTCTCTTCTCTTACAGAACAAAAGTGTAGGATTGAAAACTCCAAGGTAAGGCAGACAAATTGCTCATGGAAGGTGAAGGTTGTGCACACCTCCCTACAATTGCTAATCAATCCCTAGCCTCTTAAGTTTCCTGCAGTTGGTAACTAGTGCAGGCATCTTGTAGGATACTACATCCTGGCATGTAAAGACAGTACTTGGAGCAATTACTTAGTGCTCAGAGAATGAAGGACTGGGATACCAGTGTTGGTTAGAAGAGTTAGGAGAGAATAATTCTGTACTCTGAAGAGAAAGGTGAGAATAAGTCTATACTGGGACTTAGTGTGGCCGGGAGCTGTCACCCTAATAAGCTTAGGACATAAATACTTGTAAAACTCTCTTACCAGCAAGGGATGTTAGAGTGTTCATTATGGGTTTGATGTTGTTCTGGATTTTGCCATCTCGCTGATTCATGAGTACCACTCAGTTATCCAGGGCTGCAGTGGAGACCCTAGTCAGATTTTGTGAATGGAAATGTTCTGATCTCCTTGTAGTCTCCACATGGAAAAGAGAAGGCTGGGGGTAAGGGGGGTGGGCAGGGCATGGCACAAACCTCAGATGCTAGTGGTAAAGTGCTGATGAGTCTGTGCTAGTGGGTCTTTGCTGGAATTAGCATTTCCCAGAAAGGCAGTTTCCCCTTTTCTGGTCACTTTTGACTGCATAGGCAGTCAAGAGGAATAATTGTATTAGCATCAGCTTCTCCAGTGTTTTTGTTTGTTTGTTTGTTTTTTGTTTTCTGTAACTGGTGGAGCAGCATACTTGCTGGAAAGTATTTGAATGACTTCCCTGTTAGTGCCTCAAGAGAATCTGGTGCCACCCAAGTGGTTAAGGGGTGAGCAGTTAAATCTGGAGCCCTTGTGGCTGGGGTCTAACAGGTATAGGCAGGCATTTTAGCAAGGGTATTATAGGGTATACCAACAGCCATCTTTATCAATGTAATAGGCTTAAGGTTATATTTCACAATTATTTTAATTTGCATTAAATTATTTAAGCATTTGAATGTTTTTGGTATAGAAACCCGAGCCCCCCAGCTCATCATTATTGCTGGGGATATGTTCCAGATGGTACATGACACCCTGATAAGTAGAGGCAAGGGAAATTTACCACTAAGGATAATAGGGAAGTTCTCATGGTGTGCCCATACTGATCTAGTCCAGGGTCGAATTTCAGTGTAATGATCTAGGGAATTTTCGGGCAGCACTACTCTCACTTTGATGGGAGATTTGGGTAGTGCCCTTTTCCCAAATTGAGCTCTGAGAGATGGGGCTAAAACTATCTCATAATGTCCCTCTAACAACAAGAGTCTGAATCTACAGTCCTCAGAATTTCCAGTGCCTGTCCAAAAGCTTTTAGGGTGGGGAAAGAGTATATCCATATACTATCCACTTCAAGGAAAAGCATTGTTAGATAGAGTCCCTAAAAGGATCTGGATTGAAAGCATGGGCTGATGCAAAGCAGGGGATTGCTAGTTTAAGAAGAAAGGTATCTTGGTGAAAGGGAATGGGGAAGAAACAAGAAAAAATTCAGAGGACTAAGTATCAAAAAAATGTCCTGGACTGGCTGATGAATAAACAAGAAGAAAATAGAGAAAAAGAACTTCTCCAGGCAGAGGAGAGAGCAAAAGTAAAAAGGAGGGAAAATGAGAGAAAAGTTGACAAATGAGACAGATGTTCTCATGGGAGGTGAAAAGACCACTTACAAGTACACTGAATTTGGGGAAACCTGGTTAAATGGAGACACTGTCTACATACTGAAAAAATCACCTGACATGTATAATGTGACTCTAGTTTCCTTTCTGGGACCCAAGAATACAGGCTTCCTTAAACTCTACCCTAGGCAGAGATAATCAACAGAGGGAAGAAAAATTTTTTGTTTAAGACAGAAAGACAACTGTGCTGGACAGTAGTTGTGAATTATCCATGATCTGTAAAAGAGCAGTCAGGCTTTTCCCTAACAGGCATCTTGTTAGAAACTAGTTCATGGGGATGTGATGATAATATCTGGAGTAGTTACTGGACTAGTGGATGTAGAAAGTAGAGTTTCAGTACTGGTATTAGTGAGAGGGGGGAAATGAATGAGCATTTATTAACCACTTAGTGTGTAAGTGCTGAGGAAACAAATAGAAAAACAAGGCAGTCCCTGCTTTCAAAGAGCTTACATTCTAACGGGGAGAGAGCATATATAGGTTTCAGCTGCAAGTCAGATGAAAAGATCCCATAGTCCTTAGGGTGTAGCAGGAAAGCTGATGATAATGAATATTCTTTAATGTCATTTTTACTGATAATCATATCAACCTGTAATGTTAAACCATTTGACAATGCCAAGGACTTTGAGGGCAAGAACTTTCTTTTCTAAGCAGTTACCCAGGCACATCTTTGCAGGGGTTACTTCCTGGGATGATGGTTGTGGAGGGCTGGGCTAGAAGCAGGGCCTGTTGTATAGAGCATTCTGTCATTCCCCAGCCTGGGGCTTATCTTCCCAATGGTGACAGTCAGCCAAGGAAAGTGAGCCCTTTCTTCACAGTGATTGCTGTCCTCAGTGATAACTACAAATTACAGGCCGGAAACAAGGCCAGTAATCTTAGGGCCACTGCTATTCCTAAGGCTCTTGGGTTCTGGGTCCTCAGCTCTCTCTATTAGGGTTTGAGGAGAGGTTATGGTTTGACTTTGCTGGCACATGCTACCTCATCTCTCCCTGAGGATGCTTTATTGCTTTAGCTAGGTTTGATTGCCTGCCCCAGAGGTGACAGTTGGCCAGTGGTTATGGTACCTGTTCTGCCACCCACTGATCAAGCTAGTCAGTTTTTTTCCTCTGTTCTTTATCTCTAAGATAAACAGAACAAAGCTTGAATGACAGAATATGGAAAAGTTTGGAGAGAATCTTTCTAAAAGTCTCAGGTTTACCGAGGTGGCTAGAGATAATGAATCTTTGTACAGAAGGAGAAGATGGTATGTTTGCATCAGGACTGAACATGTCTGGGGAAGATGAGAGGCTAAGCAGATCAATGTATCTGAAAGTTGTGGGCTGTCACCTTGTGGAAATTCTCTGTGTCAGGATGATTGTGCGTGTTGGAGGAGAGGCAGGGTTGGGCAATATTTTGGGTCATAATGTGCCCCTAATACCAGCTGGGGGGTTGGGGTAGGGGCTAGAATAAAGGGAACCTAGTTACACATTGATAGTTGAATGGCAAAGTTCTGAGTTTCTTGTTTCCAGAAGGGGAAAAGTGATCCAGAGATGTAGGATGAGTGGAAAACCTGACAAGTATAAGTGATCAAAGGATTTGAACAGCTTTCAGAAGAAATGACAAACAACCACATGGAAAACATGCTTCAATTATAAATAATGAGAAAAACAGCTCTGAAGTTTCGATTTACAACCATCAAATTAGTAAAGGTGATAAAGAACAGAAATTGTCAGTGGCAGAATGGGTTTGGTAAATCAGAGACACTTATACACTGTTGGTGGGGTTATAAATTGAACCAACAGTACTGAGAAACAATTTAGAATTATAATTATAATGTAGAATTATGTAAGAATTATATAAGAAAAACTGATGTTAGTGACTTTTTCTCTCATAATTCCAAATTGTTTTCAAGAACAGTTTGACTGAGTCACATCTCCACTAACTAGTGTCTCTGACTTCCCAGCCTTTCCAACACTGACTTGGTGATTCTAGTGCTGGATATATGCCCCTAAAGTAGTCAGTGACAGAAAGATGCCATGTAAAAGTATTCCTATCAGGACTTTCTGTAAAAAACAAACAAACCAAAAATAAAATAGGTGTCTATTGAATGGGAAATGGTTGAACAAACTATGGTCTATGCATGTAATCTAATATTATCACTCCACAAGAAATGATATGAGGAATTCACAGGAAAATGGGACAGCTTATATGAAGTGATGAAGAATGAAGAAAGTGGAACCAAGAAAACTATACACAAAGAGTTGTTATGTAAATGAAGGTGACATTAAAAGGTAGTTGAATTTAAATTAACCTCATGAAACATTCTTCGTTCCAAAATACAGAGAAATATATATCCCTTCTCCTTAGGGGCTAGGTAGGAGACTACTGATGCAGAGTGTTGCAAATTTGCTTTGTTGATTGTGATGTAAAAGACAACAAAAGATATCAATAATTATGTTCAAAGAAAGACAGATAAGTGGCGAAGTACTAGTAAGTTAATGCAAGAGAGTCCTGTCAGAGGATCCGTGACAATTCTTTGTCCCCATAAGAAACATCTGTGTTTTATTTTCTTCTATACAAACAGGGTTTCCTATATCTAAACCAGATGTGATTTTCAAATTGGAGCAAGGGAAAGAGCCATGGATGTTCAGTCTGCAGAAAGTCAGAGAGAGAGAGGTCCCAAGAAATTCCCCTCCAAGTGAGTAAGAACCAGATCTATGGAACTCAGTGGGAGAAACAGCACAATAGTTTATTGAGAGAAAGCTCTCTTCCAACTTTTTGGGAAAAGGAGAGGCGTGAGTCTCACCTGTGGCTGTCCTTCTTCATGTGTATCCTTACCTACCTGCGTTTTCTTTTTCCTCATGCTTTCTAGAGACTTACCTTTCCTTACTTACTGAAAATTCATTTTCCCTGATGACATTCTGTTTCTTTTTTATTTGCTATTCCTATTTATCACTATCCCCTGCACTTAACACAACACTCTAGTGACCCTTACCACACTCCTGGTTAGGCGCTTTATATTCTGTTTACCTCATTTGATGATATAGCTTCTATTCCCTATTCAGTTCTCCTCTCCCACTTCTTAGCCTCTTTCCAGATTACAAGACTGTTTTTAAAGGTGACAAGACTATGAATATCTAGTAGGCATTATTTTCTGCTTCATTATCTCCTTCCTAACATTTCTTTTCTTACAGCACAGAGAAGAGATTAATTTGTTTTTTCTCTTTGTTCTAGACTGGGAGAGTAGGCCTGACACCCAACAGTCAACTCAAAATGAGAACATTTCTGAAGAAGCAGAATCACCAGGGATATTAGTTCCTCTAGACCCTACATTTGGAGAAATTCTTCTGTCTAGGGGTAGGTTGGAGAAGCATCAGGAAAACTCTAAAGGGGAAAAATGGAAGAAATCCCTTTTCCATGAGAATACTTTCAAGCAGTTGTCAATTGGTCTCACAGAAAGCCCCATTAAAGAAAGAGACTATGAATGTAAAGATTGTGGAAAAAAATTCTTTGACCGCCCATCCCTTACTCGACATCAAAGGACTCATAAGGGAGAGAAGCGCTATAAATGTAATGAATGTGGAAAAGCCTTCTCTAAACATTCATCTCTTACTGAACATGACAGAATTCATACTGGAGAGAAACCCTATGAATGTGATGAATGTGGAAAGGCCTTCAGCCTGAAAAGTAACCTAACTCGACATCAGCTAACACATACTGGAGAGAAACCCTATGAATGTGATGAATGTGGGAAGGCCTTTAGCCGTAGAAGTGGACTTATGAGACATCACATGACTCATACAGGAGAAAGTCCCTATAAATGTTATGAATGTGGGAAAGCCTTCTTTAACCCTTCATCTCTTATTGAACATGAGAGAATTCATACTGGAGAAAAGCCCTATGAATGTGATGAATGTGGGAAGGCTTTCTCTAACCAGTCATCTCTTACTGTACATGAGAGAATTCATACTGGAGAAAAACCCTATGAATGTGATGAATGTGGGAAAGCCTTCTCTATACATTCATCCCTTACTGTACATCAGAGAATTCATACTGGAGAAAAGCCTTATGAGTGTGATGAATGTGGGAAAGCCTTCTTTGACTGTTCATCCCTTACTAGGCATCAAAGAACTCATACTGGAGAGAAACCTTATTTATGTAGTGTGTGTGGGAAAGTCTTCAGTAGCAAGGCATCTGTCATCCAGCATCAACGACGTTATGCCAGAGAGTAATGTAGGAATATAATTTAAAGAAAATTTCCATCAGATCTGTCATTTTATTGACTACCAAAAAGTCAAAGTGGGAAAATGGGCCCCCATAAACACTTAAAAATGGTCATATCTTAAACAGTTGGGTGGGGGAGTAGGAAACAAGTATTTATTAAGCACCTGCTATGTATCAGGCACCATGCTAAGCACTTTACAAATTGCTCATTTGATCCTCACAACAACGCAGTGAAGTAGGTATTGTTATGATTTCTGTTTTACACATGAGGAAACTGAGACAGACAGAAGTTCAGTGATTCGTTGAGGGTCACATAGCTAGTAAGTGCCTGAGACTGGATTTGAACTCAAATCTTCTCACTGGGCCCAGCACTTTATCCACTGAGCCAATACAGATCTATATAAACCTGCTGCCCCTTTTAGTTGTTTTTCAGTTTCCCTTTTCTAGCCAAACTCCTTTTTCTACACATACTATGTTGTAAATCTGACCCAAGGTACCCCAGATACAAGCTGTAACTCTGAGGCTCCCCCCTCAAGAAAATGCCTGGCCTATCAAAGTCTCTTACAGACTCATAACTCGTGGTGTACACAAATACTCAAAAGGAGACATCTAGGAAAATGGAAGAGTGAGCAGTCAAAAGAGAACATATTTTCTTAGTCTTCCCCTATAAAACATCAATTTACAAAAACTTCCAAAATGATTAGGACCATCAGAAGCCTTGAAAACAGTATTGTTTTCAGAATAAATCAGTATGCTGTTTTTGGTTAACAATGGCAAAAAAGGAAAGTAAATTCACATCTCCCATCATATAGTATAATAACTTTCCAGTAGATTAATGATGTAGTATAAAATAAGGCCCATAAAATAATTAGTTGTGGAATATATGTATATACCACAATTACAGAGATGCATAAAAAATTTTAACCTCAGAAAAATTTTGGGGAGACAAAACAAGTTTGATTATAAAAAAGGACTTTGATAACAAAGAACAATCTAAATTTTAAAAAGGGAGCAGACTAGGAAAAATCTTTCCTTTAAACATTTCTGGTAAAAGTCTGGCATCTGAAATCTGCAAGGGAAGAGACAAAGTCATTGAGTCCAATACCCTCCTTTTACAGATAAAAAACTCGGGCCCAGAGAAGAAATAACAAGTTTATGAGAGTATCAATTAAAAGATAGGAATGGTCAGTTTGAGGGTGAGGGAAAATAACATATAGTCAACCACCTGAAAAATTCTTCACATGCTCACCCAGGTAAATGAGAATTAAAATTTCTTTGAAATATAATCTTAAACCTATTACATTGTCAATAGTAATTTACAATAGTAAAATCCAATGCTTCAGGGACTTTGAAGAAACTGGCAGACTATTGCACTGCTGGTGGAGCTGTGAATTGGTGTAACCATTTTGAAAAGTATTATGTATGCTGAAGAACTCCAAGAACATGCCACATGAGGATCTGTTGAAGAAACTGGGGATGTATAGCATGGACAAGAACAAAGTGGTAGATTAGCTAGCTTCAAATATTTGCAGGGCTAGTATCTAGAAGAGGGATTAGACTTGTGCTGTTTGGCCCCAAAAGGCAGAACTAGAAGCAATGGGTAGAAGCTTCAAAAAGATCAATTTAGGTTTGATGTAAGAACAAAACCTATTAAAGATGAAAGCTATCCAAGAGTAGAATGGACCACCTCAAGAAGTAGTTAATAGTTTCTCCTTGGATATTTTCAAGCAAAAGCTCGAAAACACTAAGTTTTACTATGTAAAGAGGATACTTAATTCAGATATGGATTCAAATAGATTACCAAAGAGGTCCTTCCCATCTGAAATTCCATGATTCTATATGGCATGATACAATAAAGGCTATAAAACTGTTCATATCCTTTTACTCAGGGATACCATTACAAAGATTAGAAGGATATTGATGAGGCCTAGCTTTACATAGGTATTAATAGCATTAGTGGTAACAGGTAGACCTTAAAAAGAGGCAGACTTAGGCTTGATAGAAGGAAAACTTTTCTAAAGATTAGTGTCAAAAATGAGAGACTCCCTCAAAAATTTCAGAGTTGGAAAATTCTCCCTCTAGGTTTTCAAGCAAGGGCTAGATGCCCACTTGCCAGGGATGTTGGAGAAGGGATTTTTGGTCAGGCAGGGATTTGGATTCAATATCTGGGGTTCCTTCCAAATCTCAGATTTTCTGAAAAAAAAAAAAAGTAGGCTATGCCCAACAGCTGGGAAATTATTTTTTAATGAATTATGGTATATGAATGTAATTGAATATTATTGTACTACTATAAGAGCTAAATATGTAGACAGGGGAAAACATGTGAAGCGATGCAGAGTGAAGAAAATAGAACCAAACAACATGCTGACTAGCTATGTAAATAATTACACTGGTAACAATCGCTCTAGTGCAAGTTCATGCTCTGCTAGTTCTCGGCTCTTGGTCATCCCTACCATCCACCTCATCTACTAGTATTTCCAAGCTGTGCAACGCTGCTGGAGGAAGTCATAACTCTGTTGCCAATTGGCTCCTAGGAAAATTCATGTTATCTTACTTTCATTGGGCCCTTGTTATTCTGTTGTTTTAGTCATATCTGACTCTGAGACCCCATTTGGGGTTTTCTTGACAAAGATACTAGAGTGGTTTGCCATTTCCTTCTCCAGCTCATTTTACAGATGAAGAAACTAAGGCAAACAGGTGACCCAGGGTCACCCAGCTAGTAAATGTCTGAGGCCAGATTTGAACTCCGGTCTTACTCCAAGCCCAGAACTCTATCCACTGCACCACCTAGCTGCCCCTTTGGCCCTGTTGCTGCTCAGCAAACCTTTTACCTTTCCTTGCCTCCCCTTCCCATTTCTCCTTAATGGCTGTTCCAAACCTTCTTTTCTAATGACCCCAACGACTCTAATTGCTCTCTGAGCAAACAATTCTTGCCTTGTATTTTACAGAAAAAACAGAAGCCATCCACCGGAAGCTCCCACTTTTCCCCTACTTGGTACCTCAGAGCATTTTCACTCCTCACCCTCCTTCTCTGAGGAAAAGTCCCTTTGCAAAGTCCAGTCTCTCTCTGTACCCTTAATCCGATCCCTTTCTGTCTTACTCAGCAGCTTGTCCTCAAGTTAACATCCTTTCTTTCCCTTTACTACCAAACTTCTTAAAAGATTATGTATTCTAGCTTTCTCCCCTCTCCACCACCCACTTCTTAGTACCTTACAGTTAGACTGTAGACATTTATTAGGGGCCTACTGTGTGCCAAGAACTGTGCTAAGCACTGGGGGGATGGAGGGAGGGGGTTCAAAGAAAGGCAAAAAACAGTACCTACCCTCTAGGAGTTCACAATCTAATGGGAGAAGAGAATACAAAAAGCAGCTCTGAAAAGGTGAGGAGAGAGGAGTACAGCAGTGCGGGAAATGAAGACTTGGTTGTCCTGGGACACCCTCCTTGAATGGAGGTTCTGGAAAGAGCTTTCCACTGTCTGCCTTTCACCCTCTCCAATCAGAGGGAGGGTAGGTCTCCAGGGGCAGGGGTTACTGATTAGGTAAGTTTCAGGGTTTATGTGATCTTGCAGAAAATAATGAGGTTCTCAGGAGCATGATGTAGTCCAGAAGAGTGCAGTTTGGTTTATGGCCCACCACTTGATTTATTTTTTTTCCCACCACTTGATTTAAACTGCCATCTCCTAGCTTATCAATGCTCAATTAACTGCTAAACCTTTATCATTCTTGAGTTTTTAGCAGCTTTTAATATAGTTGACCACCACTTTCTAGACACACTCTCTTTCCTTGGCTTCCATGACACCATTATCTTACCTGAATTGCTTTTGCTGGATCATCCATTTCCTGATCCCTGGGTATAAAGTGATTTGGAGAGCTCTACTATTGTTCTCTTCAGTCTCTTGGAGAGCTAATTAACTCCCATGGATTCAAGTCTCATCCTTATATGAAATCTCTGATATTGCAACTATTCAGGAGCCTGCTGGATAGCTCCTTTTGGATGACGCATAAGCATCTCAAACTCTTTACCTCCTGTCCTTCCCCACCTTCCACCAATCTTCTAAACTTTGATATTTCTCATGAAGATACCACTCTCCTTCCAAGTAATCCAAGTTCATAACCTTGGAATCATATTTGACCCATTAGAATGTCCCTTGAGAGAGGGTACTATTTTGCTTTTTGTTTTGTATCCTCAGCACTTAGCCCTGTGCCTGCTAAGTGCTTATTAAATCCTTGCTTTCTCTTTCTCACTCACTACATCCAATCAGAAACCAAGTCTCATCAGTTCTACTTTCACTACATTTTGCACATCAGCCCCCTTCTCTGCACTCACACGGCCACTACCATAACCTAATCCCCCACCACCTTTATCCTATTCTAGTGGAATAACTAGCTTTCTCCGATCTCCTAGATTACCAGTTTCTCCCCTTTCTAATCCATCCTCCATAAGGCTGCCAAAATAATCTTTCTAAGACACAGATCCAACCATGTCATTACTTGGCTCAAAAACTTTCAGTGGCTTCCCTGTTGCCTCAAGGATAAAATATCTCTTAACATGGTATGTAAGGTCCTCCACAACATGGCTCCTACCCACCCTTTTGACATCATCTAATAGTATTTCCTACTACAAATGCTATGTTCCAGCCAGACAACACTACATTTGTCCCCTTTCTGCTTCCCCACAAATCTTCATGTTTGGAATGTACTCCTTGGTCTACTTTTCAAAATCCTTTTCTTCCTTCAAAGCTCAGCTCAGGTGCCACCCACTACAGGATGCCTTTCCTGATTCCCTCAGTTGTTAATGTTCTTCTGTCCTGATTTTCCTTTATATCTGCATCAGTGTTGTACACACACACACACACACACACACACACACACACACACACACACACGTATATTTTTTATAGCCAGAAATTATGTCAGTTGTCTGTCTATATTCCTAGCATCTAGCACAGTGCTTTGCACATAGCAGGTACTTGCTAAACATATCATAAATCCAGAAAAGTACACAAAAGAGAAAATGAAGTTCAGAAAGGGATGGAAACAATGTTATTTTTTATTGCCTTCTGAAAATTAGTGTATCCTTTTAAAATATAAAACATACTGGAAATAATTAAAGTTTCTACTTTCGTGTTCAATCTCTTTTAAAAAATGATCCTTATTTTAATTTGTTTCTGGTACAATGCTTACAGTAA